AAATAAATAACTAAAATGCAAATGATGATGAAATGGAAAATAAATAAAAATAATCTAGTAAAGATGAGAATGGAATCGGTTCCAGGTTGGTCTACACCCTCGAATAACTAGCCCAATTAATGCCTTTATCAAATTTCACTCGTCTTCTAAAACTACCGGTCCTAGATAGCAATAAGCTCTGCTACCCAAATTTTCCCTTAATTTATACTTAATCAAAATAGGCTCTTCAATTAATTCTAACTAGCGAATAACTCGAAATAAGCTCTCCTAATTTAATCCACTAGTCGCACTAAAATCTAGGAAATAGACCGATCTAAGCCACAAACACATAAGCTCGGTTCATGTAACTTATGTTGTGCTATCCCTAACAATGCACGACTGTTAGTTGCTACAAACGAAATAAGAGCGACGACAATTACGGATCGAAGCCTCAAATCTAACAATTAACATGCAATTCCTAACTTAGGTGATCAAGCTAAATTAAAATTCACACATTATGACATGAAAATAGATTAACACAATCAACTTTATACGACGAGTAAAACGACATAAATAGCATTAATCAAACATAGTCATCGAGAGTTCAACGTCCCTAGAACCGAAATAGTGTTTAGCTACACATAGCTAAATGATAAAAGCAAAAATAATAATCCATAATGTTCAATCAAAATAAAGAAAAGCAAATAAAATAAAATAGCAAACTCCTTTAATCAGAGCATCCATCGCTAATCCCCAGCAAGCCCGTTCTACTCTCTGTTCTCGTACNAGATGAATTATTTTCCTTTCCTTTTGATCCACGCAGCCCCCCGGACTCCAACCAAATTGGATTTTTTTATCCCCAGTCAAGTAAAAAATGAGTCCATCCATATGAGAATTCCTCCCAATTAATTCCTTCAGACCAAGTCACCCAAAAGAGAATTAAGAGTCCCACAAAATTAAATCTCTCCTTCCAAATCTCGCAAGTGCATTTGCCAGGGAATTAATTCCCTTAACTCTCGTATAAGTCCACCAATTCAGTTATCTCCTATTCCATTAACATTGTCACGCCCAGTCATCAATTTCCGGCCACGTCATCTCCTACTTAGTTGCATCATTAATATGCGTAAAAATTGCAAAATAAATATAAAATCCAAATATTGGTATATGTCCGTTTATAAAATAAAATACGTGAGAAAACTTGAATAATAAACTTAACTCAAATACTAAAATTACAAATTAACTAACAAATAAGTACAAGATTTCTCACGTATCAGAAGTTTTCTCAGTAACTGGATTTTTAATGTGTGTTTTCTCGATGTCTTGTTTCAAAATGCAATTTCCTGATTTTTTTCTGTTATTTCTAGTATTTTCAATGTGTGTTTTCTCGATGTCTTGTTTCAGAATGCATTTTCTTAATTCGCTTTTTTTTTTTTCATTTCTATTAAGAGTTGTACTTTACAAAATCTATTAGCACTTTCCATCCTTAGTCCTGTCAAGTCATCATTAAAATCACATACGCATAGACCTCTTTGAGATATTGAACTTGCTTGAGCAAACCACAATGACCCGAATATCCAATAGGATCGCGAACCTACCAACAACAGAAAAAATAAATTTGCTATTATTTAACAAGTAAATTGTTAAATGACAACCCACAATATAATCATCAACTAATAAAGCACCCAATTGAATAGAACCCACAAAACCATTATCTGGCCTCACAAGATTGTCACATTCATTGTTCTCAATACATTTACTTTCAAGCAGGAGATATATAACTGTTTTTAGCATCTAGGAAATATGAATCACTATGCATAAAAAAAACTAAGATTATTCAATTGAATAGAACTCTAGATCAATGACCTTCACTACACGTTGTCCACAGCTTTAGAGAAACTTATCAAAAGTTAAATATTACATATCAAACAAGAATTGCTTTTGTATATGCTGCAATAGCACAGAATTATCAGCCGAACTCGAGAGGAAATGGTCAAAGGGGCAGCATGCCTAATCAAATATTTTTCACTAAATTAAATTTTCTTTGGAAAACTATTTGCATATGTTTTGAAATTTTACGTGTAAATGTAGACACTATATTCTATCGGGACTTAGTTTTCAAAACATGAATGATGAGATCCTTCAACAGGCTCCAGTAGTTATTATTGTCACGGCTGACATTCAAAAGTTCCTTCGATGCTGCCTCCTTCATGGAATTCACCAAATAATCCTGTGCTTGAAGAACCTTGATTCTAGAAGCATTATGCTGCATGGAGTATTGGCTACAACAACCACGTTACCAACAAAATCTTAGTCAGATGGCAGCAAAATCAAGTTCAAAACTTGAATAATTAAAATAGACGTACTAAGGTTCATTTATCATATGACAAATTCTCACGTCCCGCCTACTTGATCTACAATCTTGATCTCAAGAGAACAAACTCTGAGGTATACTAAAAATGCGTTATTTTTTCTCTCTCTCTCAGATCTCCCCCCAATGTAATTGAAGAATACAAAAATTCATTACCAAGTTAACAAAACAACTCACGAATCAGCATCGAAACCCCCAAGTTAATATGAATTATTTTCTTCTTCGATTTAATCTACAATCACGTACGACGGACTCAAATTTGTTTGAGCTCGATGTAATAAATTTTGGTTTCAGATTTGAGAAATTGACCAAAACAAGAAAAATCTCAAATGAAGCACATTTTAGAGGTGATTAATTTATCTTCGGACGATATTTCATAACAAATGTTAAAAACAGCGCAACAAAAGAGAAAAAGGGGCGAAATTTTTCCTTAAGATGCTTTGCTTGAGCAACTTTTAACAAATTATTGAAACAAAATTTTGGAAGTCTCAATATTTGGCAGAAAAAAGGGAAAATAACAGAGAACCATATCAAGCTTAAAAGCTACATTTAAAAAAAACAAATAAATTAAATTACCTAGCAGATGTAATAGAAAACCGCTTGTGCTGCTGCTTGTGCTTGAAAGAATGCAAATCGCTGACGTCAAGCTTCGATCATTCAGCACCGTTCAAAAATTGTAGGAAATTGCGCTCTTCGTATCCAGGCGTTTGAGCCTGACGACCATGGCGAAATCAGGTACAAAATTGAAGCATAACTATTCAGACGAAGAGCATCCACAGAAATGAAATTAACATGTTTATTGAACAATGTATTATAGATGAATATATATTTCATGTTCTTAACATGCCAAAAAAATAGGGCTAAATTATAAAGTTACAGTAAAAATTGAAGAAACTGAGTACAAATTATAATGCATGGATAAAGACAGAAAAGCCAGAATATAAATAAAGGCAAAAAAATATTCATATTACAGCACAAGTGCCAAAAATGAAACACATTAACACCATCAACACCATGCGACGACCAAATTGCATTCATTAGATCCATGGTATGTACTATTTACTAAATATAAACAATAGTAACAACAAGTGGTGAATCGATCAACCACTATTTCTGATGAACTGATAAGTTTAGATGAAAATATAAATTGATGAGAAATACGTAGTACAATGTTAGCAAGTCTACATCTGTTACTTTCATAAATAAATCTTTATTTTGATGATATCTACTGCATGAAAATTTTGATGCCTGCATTTATAAAATATTGAATTAGCACCATCTAATAGCAATTTTGTTTACAGAAAGAAGTACTATAAAGCGAACTCAAAAGACTTACTAAAAACAAATCAGGTGAAAGGAATTGATTAATTAGATGTACAACCAACTTCATTTTCAGTAGAGTTCATCTCTGATGTCGTCAGTTAACATTCTGAGCGGTTATGAAAGTATCAATATAGATCCTGATTCCTGACTACCAATATTTAACTTGCACCAGTAATGGACACACTTTTTTACTTATAATAGTAACAATAATATATGTGAATTTAACAAAATATATCTACGAAACTAAATTTTTTACACTTTGCATTGAACGAAAATTCTCAATTACCTTGTGGAGGATGGCAGTTATGGGGGAGTCATAAGCCTTCTTCCTGGTTCATGGTGGCTGCTACGGCGAGATTTTGTCCTCTGACATCCGACATTAATGACAGTAACTGAATCAATGCTTTATCCCGATCTCAATTATTATCTGCACCACACCACATCCACAAGTATTTAAATCACAAAGTTTAAAGCACCTTTTGGAGGGGGTATTACTCCAAATTCCTGCATTTCTCCATAAAACTCTCTTGAATCTCCATAAGTCAAAGCAAGTTTTACCTCAGATTAATTTTTTAGAATATAACATACGAATTTGTACACAAATTCTAGGAAATCAATTGAATAATAAAAATTAGATGAAAATAACAAAAATATAAATATCGTGTCTGGATTATATAGGATTTGTATTTCAAACTACAATTCTTATTTAAGGAGGTTTGAGACATAAGTCCATATTATGTGAATAAATGCTAATTTGAAACTACCTAAGCAATGCCTCGACAATATCCTTTATTGCTCAGCACACCTGTTGAAGAAGTGAAATTTAATATTCGCAATTATTTTGATGCCATCAAAACTCATATGGAACTGAGAACAATGAAGAGAACCTCAAACTCACTTTAGGAAAATACTAGAGGCCCCTAGAGTTTCTGGCTGATGTCACATTGATTTTTACCAATACATACCTGTAATTAACCCGAGAGTCATGCCCAATACCTTTCTTATGCCATGAGTAATTTCATTGAACCAAATGGAAAGTCATCCAAAAAAACTTTATTTCTATCTCAAGTCCATTCTAGCACTTTTGCTAATAATTTTTGTTTAAAGAGAACCTGTAACTACTAAACAGAATNAAAACCAAAAAAAAAAAAAAAAAGGAATAGAGGTAGATGATAATGTTAGTAAGGTACCAAAATCTTCCGAGAAGATATGAAAAGGCCAAGAGATGATGTATGCACGACCCCATCAACACGTAGCGGACCCCAAGCCCCACCATGAACCACCCTGCCATCAGCACCCAAAATCCTTTCTTGAATAGCATAACATCACAATGAATCTTTTATTCAGCGGCGAGCTTGGTAGCGATGTTTTCGGTTCTCCTGGATTTTTTTCGCCGTCGATCTTCGCCACGGGCCAGCATATTTCACCGCCCGTCTGCTCTGCATTTTCAGACTACCACACATCTGAGATGCCGCCTCCTTAAGCCCGAGCATCTGGCCGATCTCAACCGCCATAATATTTTGGGGTCTGTCAATTGAGAGAAAAATCTTGTGACAAAGCTGCGATAAAAGGGTTTGCGAAGATAAAGTTGTGTGACAAAATGAAAAATTCATTACTGAATTTTCAACAAAAAACAGTGATTTGAGTGCGTGACTCGTAATAAGCCTTTTTCTATTGCGCTTTTCTTTGAGGCCAGATAATTTCTTCTTAGACATGAATAGCGGCGGTGGCGAGGTGAAGGAGAATGAAAATGAGAGACTGCTAGGTTTGAGAAACAGGGAAGTTGGGGGGAAAATGATTTTGCGTGTAATTGTTTCCGTCCTCAATTCTTAGAGCATCTCCAGCGTACGCTGTTGAAGGAAAAAAAAATCTTTGCCATGTCACAATATCTTCAATTTTTCTTCTACAATGCACTCTGTTATGGGGTGGTTTTTTTTGACGTGGCGTAACACTAGTCAAGCCCACTGTTTACCTTCAAACAGTGTATTGGACAGTCTGACTCACGAATAAACGTGCCAAAATCTTGGGAATAGTGGGAAAAACGAGAAAATTTTTCAAATTCGCGGGAAAATATGGCGGGCCAGAAGATTGAAGGAGAATCGATGGCTGAGATTTTTTGGCAACATCCAAACATTAAATTTCCCAAAGCCTCCGGAACTGAGCCTGAAGCCGCAGTGTGAGACGGGGAGGGACGGTAAGATTTTCTTCTTCAGCATTTGTAGGGTTCATAGAATTACACATTAAGTTATGATTTTGGAATGACAAATTATTCTACATGTATGGCGATTGATTTTTTTTTATTAGCATTAGGGTTTACTGGTTATTTTCCCGATTTTATTTGTGAGCTATAACAAAATTGCATAGGATATTCATCAATTGAATTGTTTTACAAATCTAAATATTTGTTGCATAGTTAGGAAAAATGAGAAAGGAAAGAGGATTTGTATTTGCTCTGTATGAAAGATACGCATTGGGTATTCATCATTTGAATGATTTTACAAACCTTTTGATGCTACTTGATGTGGTTTTCTTTTATTTCTTTCTATTCACTTAGGATTGTGTAATTTGTTAAAGACTTGCAAATTGTTTACTACTAATGCATGGCTGGGGAAAATGAGAAAAGAAAAAGGATTTAGTATTTGGGCTTTATAATTTTATTTATGCATTTGGTGCTAAATAGATGAACTCTTAAGAGTTGGTACAGAGCCTTGATTCGGCTAGCCACGCACCAACCTTCGGGTAGACGTGTCCATTTGCCAGGCCGGGTCGAAACCCGACCCGGCCCGCTTGTAACTAAGGGCCGGTTCACTGAACCGGCCCTTAACCGCCGGGTCGCAAACCCGGCGGGTCGAGTCGGTTCCGGGTCGGGCCCGGCGGGTTTGCGGGTTTATTAATTTTTTTTTTACTTTTTTTGTTATTTTAATGTATATTAATGTTTATTTGAATAAATAGTTTGTATATACTATATACTTCGAAAATATAAGTTTTTGAGTCTGTTTGTCTATATCATTTCAAAATGAAACAAAAATAATGATCGGGCGTCAATTCTTGGAACCAAACGGTTAACGGTGTTGTATTTTATTGAGTATGGCGGAGAAGTACAACTTGAGGTAGTTTAGAAATGCTAAATCTTTCGTCAAATGAAGTCGAATAAGTCTAAAGAAAAAAATTATTAATGTAATGGACTTGAGCTTAGTTAACAGTTATTAAGTTCGAATATCGTGTACGATGAAAAATTTTGTTGCCAAAAAATTATACTCGAACTTAATAATGTTAAATAAGGTGCCTACGTATCCCTTTATTTGGGAATCAAAGTCCACGTAGTTCTTCTAAATCACATACCTTGGCTGCATACCTTTAATATTCGTATTCGTCTTTGATGTCCCCCCCGGTTCCACTTGTCGACGACGTAAAATCGGATGCATCGTCGTTGTCGTCCTCCTCCTCATTCGAAGTGAGCATAGCAGTTTGCATCCTTCGTTCGGCCTTCTTCCAATCACTCAGTAACATTTGTGCTTGAAGATTATCAGGCGTCATCCTCGACCGTCGTGGATCTAGCATGTAGCCGCCCTCACTGAATGCTTGCTCAACCGCGACTGTAGATGCTGGGACAGCAAAGATCTCCTTGGCCATAATGCATGGTATAAAAAAAATTCCTTCCATTCTTGACCACCAATCTAACACATCGAAATTGAGTGGCGGTTGAGGTGGACGTGCAATCGTAACGGCTAAATTCGACGTAAGGTAGTGATCCAGCTCATAGTATCCAGTCCCCTGCACCCTTTGACCGCCCGAGTTTTTGTAGGGATTTAATGAATCCCAAAACACTTTGAAGTTTCCGAAGTTTGTATTGCCGCTTTGCCCTCCGTACGAAGATGAAGACCCGCTGCCGCTTGCGCCGCTGCTACGAACAAATATGCTGGGAGACTCTCCATGTGCGATCGCTGTTTCCTTGAACATGTCATACAACGAATTTTTTACTTGCTCGACGAGCTGCGGTATGTTAGGTTTGTCCCTGTAAGTCGGGACCCCACTCGGCAGTGGCAATTGATACATATAATCATAGTACATATTAAGTTGATTTAACAAACCTTGCTCACGAACTGTAGGATCTAACAGACATGCAATTAAAAATGTATCGGGAATATAGTAATAATATTTTAGCCATTTTTCTAACATATCTTCTACTAGACCAGAATATTTAAAAGGATCTAAGTCATAAATATATTTAAAACCCCACATTATAGCTATACATTGACTGACCACAAGTTGAGCAGTAGGATAGTAAACACCAGAAAGAATATTAGTAGCGTTTTGAAATGTTTCTAAAAAATTTGTAAGTTGCGAACAGTTTGCCCAATCATTCACCGAAAGTCGAACATCACAATCCCTACGGTTTGTATCATTAAAAAAATCCTGTAAATGCTTGGCATAATCAGCGGTGACATTCAACATTTTAAATGTTGAATTCCACCGGGTAGGCACGTCTGGCTGGAATTTTTTAGGTTTAATTCCAACACTCTTACAAAATCGTCCCCATGCTTTCATTTCTTGGGGACGTTTATGCAAATAATTGACGGCCTCCCTTATTGGCTTTACAGAATCCTTAAAAACATGATAACCAGCTTGAACACACAAATTTAAAACATGACATATACAACGAATATGAAAAAATCTACCCCCACAGATTGGTGTACAAACATCATTTAATTCACGTATAGATGCAGTATTTGCAGTCGCATTATCAAATGAAATTGAAAATACTTTTTTACCAATACTATAATTATCTAAGATCTTTGAAATTAAACGAGCAATATTAGAAGCAGTGTGTCGTTCATGAAATGCAACATAACCGATTAAACGTTTTTGTAAAGTCCAACTATCGTCAACCCAATGACAAGTAATCCCTAAATAAAAATTATTTATCCAATGATCGGACCATATATCAGCACAAATGGATACTCTATGATTTAAAGATTTAAAATTTTCTTTTAAAATTAGTTTCTTCTCACTCACGATTTTTCGAATATCGCGAGTAAGGGTGGTACGAGGAACTCGGTTGGCAGACGGATTTAAAGCCATTTGAGCAAAATTTTCATATAAATCACTATCACCAAAACTATAAGGAAGAGACGAAGCAGAAACAAATTCAGCTAAATGACGTCTATGATTTTCATGAGAATAATGAAATAAAGAAGAAGACGTACCTGCACCTTTAGTGGCTGAGACGGATGCTCCGCTGCTACTTGGGAATTGCGTCTGTGCCATGTCGATTCCCATTACTGTCGGATGAACATTCTTCAAATGTCGGGTCAACGTTCCGTACCCGTCGCCTTTTTTGAACTGATACTTCGTCTTCGAATTGGCCGGACAGTAGTTGCAAATAGCCAGAAAATAAGGATCACCTCCTTTCTTTTCATTTGGAGCCTTCGTGTAATGTCGGTCGAACATGACGGAATCCCGAGTTTTGACTTTACCGCCCCCGACAACTCGGACCGGCTGTGTGGGTTGTTGTGGCTGCTCATCCAGAGGAGTACTTCCAAATAGATCGTCGAGATGGTCCTCGTACGGCTGCTCTGGGTCCACCTCGTGTACACCCGTTGCCGGTTGGACTGAGGGTGGAGGCTGAACGAAATCGAACATTTGATCGATTTTGGCGGCATCTATATCGTCGGTCACGCCCGGGACATCTACATGTATCGTTGGATTCGCAAATGAGGGCAATGGAGGTGTCGACGACGATGCGCCTTCCCGTTGCCACTTTTGCCCGGAGGGCCCGGACTTCGAACCACGGCCACGACCAAAAGAGCTCGACATTTTGAATTTAAAAAATAATATACAACAAAAAAAACAAAAAGGAAGAGAGATTAGGGAGAGGAAGAGAGATTAGGGAGAGGAAGAGAGATTAGGTAAAATTTATATTAAAAATTAAGTAGATATATATTTTTTTTTTAATTAAAGTGGGAGAGAGATTAGGGAGAGATATTATTATGGAGTAATGGAGAGATTAGAGAGATTGAGAGAGTGTGGGAGTTTGGGAGAGATAGATGAAGATAGTGAGTGAGGTGTGTGGAGTGAGACCGGCCCGGACCGGGGCCCGGCCCGCCGGGTTTTTTTTTGACCGAAAAGGCCCGGGACCGGCCCTTTAGATGTCCGGTTCCGGTTTGAAAACCGGCTTCTCCGGGCCGGGTCCGGTTCGGGCCGGGCCGGGTTCGGTCCGGGTCCGGGTCGGTTCGGCGGGCCGGTTCGACCCGTGGACATGTCTACCTTCGGGATACCAAAATTTTATTTAACTTGTAGTGTATGAAAGCCCTCGTCCATAAGGTTATGTCGGCAATCAGAATTTCAATTTCAATGAGCATTTGCTATTTATGCAGGAGGTGTGTGGGAACTTAATGCATATGTTGATTGTGTGGTTTGGTTGTTTTTGACAATTTCAGTAAGCATTTTGATGTCTGCCCATGAGGTTGCTAGTTTGAGCCTTGTACCCTTGTTTTATGTTTGTGGTGTCTTCACAAAACCTTGAGTTCTGACTCTTGTGTTTACATATGTAAAATAATTATCAAAATATTTGTTTTTTACTAAAAGATATATTCCTTTTGAGAATTTCAGTGAGCACTGTGATGTCTTCAGGATCTTTATTGTCGGTTCACACATATGGTGTTTTGACCCTTGTAACCTAGCCGTCTATCTTTGGTGTCATCATAAAACTTATCCTGGAGACTCTTATCTTTATATAGGTGAAAGAGTAATAGTTATGTTGGTTTGTTATTAACTTGTCCTGCAGACTATTATCTTCATAGAACTTGTAGATTAGACTTGAAAAAGATTTAATTTAATATCTATTTCTTATTAACTTTTATGTTCAAAATGCACAGACTGCAAGTTATTTGTCCCAAATTTTCAGTAGCTTTTGAAGCTATTTTTTATCCTTTAGAACTAGTACTTAATTAATAGATATATATTGAATGCTTTGAATGTGACTTAATTAAGTGATTTGGTGGCAGATACACATTAAATTGGTGGTATAATTTGTAAATTTGCATGCCTTTCATTGCCTTTTCATACTGATTACCAATTATTTTGATTGCCAACTTATCTGTTTTGATATGCAGAAGATGGACTCACAGCAACCTGGAAACAATTCAAGTTCCCAACATCCACTGAATTATACATGCCAGCTCAAATCCGAAATGGTGTTCATCCAATTAATTTCCCATTTCAACCAGTTCTTCACTTTGATGCAACAAATAGAAATTATCATCCTCATGCCGATCAACAACCTCGCATTCACCTTGATCCAGTTAATGGATTCTCCTTCCAGAGTCTTTTGAATGCTCCAATGTGCAATACTCAAACTCGTGATGTAACCAAAGAATGAAAGAAGAGAGAAAAAGATACTCAAAATCATACCAACTCTCAATCTTTGATTGCAAAAAAGGACTGGTCAAAAGAAGAAGAGATTGCATTAACAAAAGCATGGTTATATGTTTCTGAGGATGCTGAAGTTGGTAACAATCAAAAGGGAGCAGCTATGTGGGATCGTATTTTAGAAGCTTGGAAAGAGAATATGGGGGTTACATGCAATACGGCTCGAAATAACAACAGCCTGCAACTCAAATGGTCCAAAATGCAATTTGCAGTGAGCAAGTTTCATGCACAGTATGAGCGTTTGGAACGGCATCCACAAAGTGGTTCGAACTCAGATGATCCTGGTACGTATGTTGTTTTATAATTTAATTTCTAGTGATATTTATCAAGGATGAATTTTTTATATTAGTTCATTTCTAAAAAAAATTTGCTCATTTAAAATTTAATTAGTATATATTATTGCTTCTTATGTAGATAATAAATGCTATGCGGTCGTATGAAGATTTTGTGGGTGCTCCATTTAAATTTATCCATTGTTGGGAAATTCTGATTAAAAATCCTAAATGGTGCTCTAAAGAGCTTACAAAGACGGCTGCAGGATGTAAACAAGGAATTGAGCACAATAAACCAACAATGGTCAATCAACTAGAAGATAACATTAAGGATTGTGATGTTATTTCTGATTGTACTAAAGTTGATGGACTTGAGCGCCCGAAAGGAAGAAAAGCCTGTAAAGATAGAAAGAGAAAACTGAATGAGGAAAAAAGCGTGGTGGATGCTCTGACCAAGTTGCATTGCACATTAGAGAAACAAGTTAGCATTAATCAAGCAACTTTGGAGATGAAAAAAGAAAACTATGCAAAAGAACTGAAGTTACGGGGGGAAGTAATGCAAAAAGAACTAGAATTAAAAGAGAAAGCTCAAAGATTGAAAGAAAAAATGTTTATAATGAAGTTGAAAGAGCAAAAGAGGCAAGAGCAAGACCACGTTATGAACCAAGACTTAAGCAAGTTATCCCCTATTCGTCGAGCTTATTATGAACTTAGAAAGGCTGAAATCTTGAAAGAATTGGAGGATGATGATCCTTGCAAATTTAGCCTGGTATGCTAATACTCATTCTTAACATTTTATGTTTCTTTTTATATATATGCAGTGAATTATTATAATATATAGTCAATGTAATTATTTTTTTAATTATTGTTTCCAGGTCTCATAGCTATCTTTGTTAATGGAGTTGCTGACGTACTTAGTATCAAGTAGCGTGCTGATGTAGTTATTTTGTTACACGTTTGTTTTGCATTATATTATCTATTCATTCTTAACATCTTATTGTTATGTAGTGAAATATTTTTTATAAAATATCACTTCTTATTATCTTAATTTTTGTTTTCAGGTGTCATAGCTGCTAACATATTTATGATCAAAGAGACTGTTGAAGGAGATTATTGGTGTATTTATTTCATTGCACATTTGGTTTGCATTTGCTTATGTATGTCAGTGCATGTCTTCATGTCAGTATTATCATGTAAACATTACTAGTCTTTAGCTTTTTATATATAATGGATTTTATCTTTATTTATTTACATTAATTAATTTTTGACTTGGCAAGCTGAGATGCTTGAGTTATTTTGTTGTAACTTACTGTTGTTGTTTATGCTGAAGAATAAAAAAACACAAAATTCTGAGCCATTCACTTTCTTTTTTAGAGCTTGATATTTGATATTTCCCACCTATGAATCTATGGTTGGATAGCTATACCATTTTACATATAATTGTGTGATAATAAGAAATATCCATCTCTGTTTGAATTGGTGTGTTATTCTTTCAAGATGTTATTGTTAACTTTTCTCTATTCTAATGGTTGTGTGCATAGAAATTAGCAATCGGAATAATACTAAAGCAAGCAATTAGCTGTTAAATTACAGTATTAGGTTGGCTTTCTTTATGTGCTAAATTTGAAAAAAAATAACTAAAAAAGCTGGTAAGGAAATAAAAGGTATTTATGATTTTGGCTTTCATTTTAATTGACAAATATTAGAGTGGTATCTTTAGATGTGCAATAGTAAACATACTAAAATAGATCATGCTAATGTTACTAGTTGCAATTTTGCAATCTTATTAATAGTTTATTTAAGACGAGATAAATATGAGAAATGATAAACCCAAGGATTGTCATCCCACAAGATAAATATTATGCAAACAATAACAATAAAAGAAAAATATCAAGCAACTTGATGGCCACCGTACAACTCCCACACATGATTAATAAGATCAATCTTCAAATCCTTGTGCACCCTTTTGTCTTGTATTTGTTTCATGCGACTATTCATCCTTTTCATAAGAAAAGTAAAATCATGTTCTGGAGTAACATTTTCAACCGCTTCATCTCCATGAGGTTACCAACTTTCGGGATTTATGCCTTGACTATGCTCGGACTCAATAATCTTATTGTGTAATATTATACACGTCTTCATTATTTTTCCCAAATCTTTTGCATTCCACATACGAGCTGGTCCTTTGACAATATGCCATCGACTTTGTAGCACTCCAAATGCTCGCTCCACATTTTTCGTATAGCTTCTTGATGCTTTGCAAATATTTTTTCTTTCATAGATGTTGGGTGAGATATTGTTTGAATGAGTGTGGCATATTGTGGATATATACCGTTAGATAAATAATAACCCACATTATAATGATGACCCTGCACCACAAAGTCACATTGTGGTGCAACATCATTAATTAGATCATCGAATAAGGGAGACCTATCCAAGACGTTAAGATCATTATTTGTACCAGCCATCCCGAAAAATGCGTGCCAAATCCATAGATTTTTTGAAGCTACAGTCTCTAAAATAAGGGTCGGGACTCTTTTGAAACCATTTGTATGTGTCCCATGCCAAGCCTTGGGGCAATTTTTCCTGTGCCAATGCATACAATCCAAACTACCGAGCATACCGGGAAACCCTCGATCCTCACTTTCTTTTAGCAAGCATTCAACATCAAATTTGTTTGGCCTTCTTAAATATTTTTCTTCAAATATTCCAATAATAGCATCACAAAAACGTTTTAAGCTTTCAATTGTTGTACTTTCACCAATTTGTACATATTCATCGAGGAGATCGGCTGCACAACCATATGCGAGCATCCGTATGGCTGAGATCATCTTTTGTAAAGGACTCAAACCACGTTTTCCCACAGCATCAATTTTTTGCGTAAAATAATCATCATAATTTTCAATTGCGTGTAAAATACTATTGAATAACTCAATATCCATTTGAAATCGACGTCGAAAATGTTCAGGTGTGTACTTAGAATTCTCACCTTTGAAGTAGTCGTTGAGAATTAATTCATGACGTTGTTCTCTATCACGACGAATATAGCGTCGACTACTTCCGGTTCCACCATGAGGGCGTTTCGTGTTTGTCAATATCGTGGAAATTATCATAGTAACATGAACCGAGCATGTTTGAATGATATCACAACTCTCAATAAATACTTCATTTTCCAATAACTCGTCTAATAACTGTTTGGTAAGTGAAAATGTGTCGTCGCTTGAGGTGCTAACAGATGCCCGAGATAAGTCTATATTAATGAAAATAGAAATCCTATACTAGTGAAAGCGGAACGCTGGGTATCCAAGCTGGTCCATCCGTACAAGAATGCGAAGGCGGAGTGGAGCAGTGTCGGTCTGCAATGTATGTGTGCCTGGAATGGTGGCGCCAAGGCTGGCCAGGTAGTCAGCCGGTCTGTTCCCCTCACGGAAAATGTGCGTGATCCTGTGATGGACTGACTGAAGTAGATCTCTAATGCGCAGAAGCGGGTGCTGAATCTGCCACGAGCCCTGATGGCCCGAAGTCAGGAGGGTGGCGACAGCCGCAGCATCCAGCTCGATCCATATATGACTAGAGATGTGGGCAGCTATCTGAAGGCCAATCTGTAGTGCCTGAATCTCTGTGTCGTAGCTCGAGGAGGCCTGAATGGACGCGTGGAAGGCGGTGATGAGGGCACCGCTATGGTTCCGAATCAAGCCTCCTCCTCCGGCAACTCCAGTGTGGCGATCGAAAGAGCCATCAGTGTTCAGCTTGACCCAAGGAGAGTCAGGTCGAAGCCAAACAACAGCTCTGGCCCGAGGAATTCGAACAGGCGGTGGTGGGGCCACCATGTAGTGCTGTGGTGGCGTGCAGCCTGTCCAGTCTCGGGCCATGAGCCTGCCCAATGAGATGAGGAGTGAAATGTGTCTCTCAACCTGCAAAACAATGTGAGAAAACATAAAAGTAGTATCCCTATGCTTCGCACTATTCCTTTCTGTCCAGGTGAACCAAAGGATTAGACAAGGAATGAGGAAGCTCACGTGTCTAAGGTGTGTGCTCTGTGAGAAAAAACTCAGGAGCTCAAAAAAACTGTATGTGGTGGGTAGGGATATATGAGTCCAAGTGGCAAAATGCTCCCACACTCTCCTCACAATCTCACTCTCTAGAAAAAGGTGGGTAAAGGTCTCAGTCTTATGGCGTCCAGTCTCAGAACAACACACACACCGAGAGGGGGAGGAGATCCCCCTCGCGTGTAGCACAGTATCGACGGGTATCCGGCGCAAGAGGAGGCGCCAAAGGAATACCGAAATGGTAGGCGTAAAAAGGTCACTCCAGATAGCCCCGAAGAGGAGATTAGGCCGATCCCTCAGCCTTATCTGCTCCCAAGCCGAGGTAGTAGAAAACACACCTGATGATGTAAGTCTCCACCTCATGCTATCTGAACCGTCCCCCGAGATAGGGATCTGCTGGATCTGATCTAATAACTGCTCGCTAAAACCCGCACCAGCCCCCAACTCCCTATCAAGCTTCCCCCTATCCCACGACCCGTCCGTCCAGAGGTCGCTCACGAGCAGGTAGGGGGAATGCGACACCTGCCTATCCCTAGACAACGGCCTATCACCTACCCACCACTCATCCCAAACACTGACATCGCCCCCGCCCAAAACTCAAAAGATGTGATCCTGGGCTCGCCTCCCGACCCTAGTGAGGCGCCGCCACTGTCTGCTGTCATGATCGACAGCCGTGACCCAACAAGGGTGGTTGGCACGTCTAGGGCAATACTTGCCGCGAAGGTACTGAGTCCAAAGCGACTTTCCTTCCCTGAAGCGCCACCACAGCTTGTATGAGAAAGCTGTAACAATGTCCCTAAGGCGGCGGATGCCAAGGCCCCCCTCTGGGAAGGGGCGGCAGATAGAGTCCCAACTCACCCAGTGAGTACGTCTCCCCCTCCCAGACCCGTCCTCATAACCCCAGAAATAACGAGCCATAATCTGGTCAAGCTCGTCAAGAGTAGACCTAGGGAGGTCGAGGACCATAAGCAAGTGAATCGGAAGAGAGCTAAGAGTGCTCTTGATCAGCGCTAGCCGACCACCGAAAGAAAGATATCTATGCGACCAACCAGAGATCCTGTCGATCATCCTCTGTCTGACGCCCGCAAAGAGCGCTCTCGTGAGGTTGCCCTTATATAAAGGAACCCCGAGGTAGGTAATGGGAAGGTCGCCACGCGCAAAGCCAGTAATGTCGTGGACCCGCTGAGCCCACCTGTCCACTGTGGCAGATGAAAGGATGAAGGTGCTCTTCTGCACGCTGACCAGCTGACCGGTGACCGAGCCATAGTGCTCCAAAAGGCGCATGAGCTCGACCAGTCCATCATCATCCGCCCGGGTGAAGATGATGATGTCATCCGCGTAAGAAAGGTGAGAGACGGTAGGACCATAGCCACGGGTGCTATAGGTCATGTGGGGAGAGTCGCGGATGAAGCCGTCAAGGCATCGAGAGAGGTAGTCCGCCGCAAGGACGAAAAGGGAAGGGAAAAGAGGGTCGCCCTGCCTAAGGCCTCTAGAGGAGGGAAAGAAATCGGTGGGGCTGCCATTAATCAGGACCGAGAACGTGCAATGCTCCACACACGCCTCCACAAAGCTGATCCAACGCTCAGGGAATCCCATCCTAGCCAACGCCTCCCTAAGAAACGGCCACTCAACCCTATTATACGCCTTAGCCATGTCTAGCTTCAGCGCGATATTCGGAGCCCACTTCCAGTCCGCTCGGGAGATGTCGTGGATCATCTCCTGGGCCAGAAGGATGTTATCACTAATGACCCGATCCTTGACGAATCCACTCTGGTTCGGAGAGATGAGAGAAGGGAGAAGAGGGGAAAGACGGCCGTTAAGAATCTTCGAAATGAGCTTGTTGGTCACGTTACACAGGCTGATGGGCCTGTAATCGGACCAAGAGCTCGGATTGGGTCGTTTGGGGATCAAGACGACAGAGGTAGACGTGAAGGAATTCGGTATCCGGTGGCCGGAGAAAAAATCCAACATCGCCTCCTGGACGTCAGTCTCGACAATATCCCAGCAGACCTGATAGAAGAGGGAAGAGAAACCATTCGGGCCAGAAACGCTGTTGGGATCAATCCCGAATACAGCATCCCTAACCTCCTCCCTGCTCGGGAGCTCACAGAGGCCAATGAGATCGACCGAAGGAGGGATGGTGGGGAAAGATGAAGCGTTCGGGGCCACGAGGGACCCTCTGTCAGAGGTGAAGAGGGTCTGGAAGTGAGCAACAGCCGACTCCCGAATCTGAGCCTCCTGGGTCAAGGATGACCCATCAGCCTCGATACTATGGATGTACGACTTAGCACGCTTCTGTCTAACGTAGCCCTGGAAGAACCTAGTATTCCGTTCGCCCTCGGCCACCCAGCGAACGGCCGCCTTCTGCTTCCAGAAGTCCTCCTTCATAAGGAGTCGGAGCTGGTACTCTGCGTGGCAGCGGTGCATGGCGGTCCTATTCTCCGGAGTGGGATCCAGGTCATAGGCCCGCTCAGCCGACGCATGCGCACTCTGAGCTGCAGTAAGGCGGTGATGAAGGTTTCCAAAAACATCCCAGTTCCACTGTCTCAACCGACGCTGCAGTCTGCCGAGCTTCGCCTCGAGATTGCGCATCCCGAAGAGCCCAGTCGGCTGAAGCCAGGAATCCCTGACAGTGTCGTGGAAGGAGTGGTGGCGAACCCACATGTTTTGGAACCTAAAGGAAGCGCGGCGAGGAGTGCTCGAAAAACGACATCTAATGAGGAGGGGTGAATGGTCAGACCCAAATCGAGTGAGGTGCGTGAC